TCAGAATTTGAAAACATCACACGTCTAAACCTCATGACGTTTTCTTCCTCCTTTAGAGCATACAAGGCATAAAAGACGTCCGAGAAATCCGAAAGTCTCATAATAATTAAATCATTCGATGAATCGTCGTTATTTCTTGGAGGAAAGTTCTTAAGTAAATCTCAATGCAGAAAAATTTCGCAAATTTTATTTTTGCTAGATAATTGGTGGTTGTTTCTGTAATCGAGTCACCTTTGAGTTGAGTTACGTTCATTCGTCTAGAAAATGACGAACTGCCGGTGAAGTACTTTTCGTTGTGGTTCAGGAGAGATGAAGCCGGTTTAAATATCAACTGGACGTATCACGCTAAAAAGAACTATAGGCATAGGGTTTACGTGTGACATAGTTCCTTTCCGCATAAACACGTCCAACTCGGAAAGTGAAAACACCTCGATCAAGCTAATCTGGTCGACGACTCATAACCTCGGGGGTGCGAGTCTATAAAAAAACCGCTGTATTTTCACGTATTTCACTTGGGCTTTTGCTTGGCATTCTTTCCAGCTCAGAATTCGCCTCATTAAGTCGCACAGGTCGCTTTAGCAGCGCTCGATGGAGCATTAATTATGCTGGAGCCGACCAGTGCTGCGCAGTCGGGGGAACCAGGGAAATTCTCCGGGAAACATTCCCTAATCCGCGGGATATTCCACAAACATGGGAGCCGCGCTCGGCATCCCATTGTTATCTCCCTTGTGCAATTTGACGCAGGTTCGGAGCACCCACTCTTTTCAAAACTTTACTGCCCCCCCCCCTCCCCCGGGTCGGGTCTGGTCCCTCACCGCCCATGCGGGGCAACAAAGACATTCTCGCCCCGAAGCACACCGCTGGCGCACAGTGGATCGAGTCAGTGGGAGGGGTCGGACATGATTTTAAAAAGTTTAAAAGCGCACATCTTCGTGAATATGAAATTTTGGTGTTATGAAAGTAGTTTCATTGGTTTTTTCGTGAAATTTGCATTAGAAACCATCCCTAAAAATTAAAATTGTGCCGAGATAAACGTAAAATTGTACAATATTTGTGAAAAATTTCGTGTCCGACTTCCCCTTTGGACTCGTCCCGGTGTGCGGTGGTGGCGGGCGGCGGAATTCGTTTCACTTGGACCGAATGTTTTAATACCGTAATTCGGTGGCAGCGTTCCAACGACCGGCGAATTAAAATGCAGCTCAGGGAAAGGGTTGTTGCGCCCCCGCCGCCCGCCGCCCCTCCCCGCCGCGGGCGCATCCCCGAGATTTGGCGAAAAATAAATCGGGGAATTATCCCTTTTAAAATGGGCCGGAAGCATTGTTGAAATATGCGAGGGCATAAAGGCACCCGGGCCGGGGCGGACCGGTGCCGGAAGAGGAAACAGAGGCGACACTCCTTTTAGTCTTATCGACTTGGCGAAATTCGCGGGGGCCGCCCAGGGAGAACGGTGAGGGTCGCCACTCCTGCCACTCCCGGCTCGCCTTTCCCTTGTTTCACAGTTTGCAGTCCCTGCACGGCGCTCCAAGGTTCTGGCGCCGCCACCCGCGCCCTCGTCCCGTGCGTCGTCGGCATAGTTTATCCCGCACATTTACACTGTGCGCTCTCTCTACAGAGTGTTCAATAAGACCAGCCAATGACCCTGTTGCAAACTTTTGTTAGCGCAAAAGTAAGAGTAGTTATTCATTGAAAGTGTCTCAAAAATCACGATGAGCGCATCGGCAAAGTCTGAAATACACACTCCTTATTCACAATTTGCATAAGAAATTTGCGTTTTTTCGAGCTTCCCGCTTCAAAAACGATACCAAGGCACAGGTTAACATTTTTTTAGAGGAGTTATTCCATCTAACCCCTGCTCACAAGGGTACCACGCAATATTCAACACAGCCGACGCCAATCCGCCAAAATGCATGTGACGGGACGATGATCCTAACCACCTGATAACAATCAATGTGTTTACATTCACATTTTTCCCGCGTTGGTAGATATCCGCCTTGATTGACCTCGTGCTCTCCTCAACTTGCGCACGAAAGTGTCGACCATGTTGAGCAGGGATTGAATGGAATGACTCCTCTAACGAAATGTTCACCTGTGCTGTAGTATCCTTTTCGAAGCGGGAAGCTTAAAAAACCGCAAATTTCTCACGCAGATTGTGAAGTTAGGAGTGCATATCAGAGTGTGCCAATACGCTCATTGTGATTTTTGAGACATTATCTATACGGAAAAACTCTTATTTTTGCTCGAGCAAAAGTTTGCATTAGGCCCATTGTGCTTTTCGGGAAAAATCATAGGATGGACCTCTCGCATGCGTGAGGGATTTGCGAACGGACCAGAGATGGACCTAGAGAAGGTGCGAATTAAGCATTCTGATGCAAATTTCTTGGCCATTATATCACGTAGAACACAATTCTTGCATCGGTAATTACTGGTATCAACTTCTAACTAGGATATTAACATTTTAATTTTACATTGGTTACGGGAAATTTGAATTGCTCGGTCACAAGAAGAACAATACTCTACACGAGTCCGATCGCGCCCTACAACAGTTTCGGCAGTCTTCTCAATCGAGCATTGATCCTTCTTTATCCTTCATTGTTCAAAATGTAAACAATTTGCTATAGCTGAGCCAAAGAGTCAAGATTGAGGTTGTCATATTTTCGTATCGCAGAGTCTGCCACGGTAACGTCTAGTGTGCGATTTCACTCACATAAACCATTGAGTTTTCATGAGCGGGGGTTTTAATTCACGGTCGAGAAACATTAAATATCTTGGTCACGATTTAATTTCAGTAATTTTCGTTGCTGTAGTTGACTTTCACGTGAAATTTTGGTTAAACAACATGTATCAGAATGCTTAACTTCGCACCGTGTTTAGTGCTCCATCTAATCTTGGATATCCGCAAATTTCAATAAGGGAAAATAAGCAAAATGTTCCGACAAAAATGATTTATCCGGGTAAATTTGGCAACTCACGAATGTTCATACGGCGTTTTTCCTTGGCACGGCAAAGGATTTAACCGTGCGCGTTGGTCCGATGCGACGCCAAGACGCCAAAGCATGTCAACGCCTTGATGCAACTATTCGTGCTCAGGGGATGTCCGCGTTGCATATACAGATGATTGAAGGCGTTCTGGTCTCCAAGCCCACGTCCCTCCTCCTCCTATGAGCGATGCGCTAGTGGCGAAGCATGAATGATCGATTATGGATGTTTCCCCATTTGAAGCTATGAGAAAGAATCGATTATGGAGGTGTTCGTCGCGGACAGTGCGGACACCCTGTTCATCGATCATTTTCCATAAGTTTAAATAACAGATCAATCGATGTACCGCAAGATACGGCATGCCAATGATCACCTTAATCAAAATCAGTCTACTTAAATCAAGCGTTGCTGCATTTCCTCCCATGGTTTGTTTTTTTATCCAAAATCTAAAAGCCATTCTGACTTGATATTGTGAGTAAGTTCCTTAGAATCTGGTGAAAACTTACAATCAGAGGGACTTCCGAAGCATGATATCGTTTAGTTCTCCGTGAATAAAATAAAACGTAACAGGAAATTAGGCAATATGAAATGCAGATTTTGCTTAGATCCGTACACTTCAACCTCGCGACGACCCTGTATGAAGTCGTTTATTCACAGATTTCCGGAATCCCCCGTCGGTTTTGAGAAAGCGCGGCAGCTTGGCAGTCTCGAACACCCTATATACGAGAATGAAGCTCTCGCCGTGAGATGTAATGTATGGGAATTCTATAGCGTCTCAATACTCGAATGGGAAACTGCGGGTTTAACTTCTTTGACTAATGGCTCCGCCGTTTAGCCCTATCCGCGCGTCTGCACAGCGCTCTCGTCCTAAGGAAAAACCCCGTATGAGCCTTCACACATTGCCATACTTCCCTCGATAAAAAACGAATTTTCTAAGAAAATTCGAGAAAATGTGTGAGACGATTTCGTTCACAATAAAATCTAAAACACCTGACAATCGACCACTAGACAAGGTACGAATTTCAGCATTCTGATACATGTTTCTCAACCAAAATTTCACATAAAACACAATGCGCACAACGAAATTAACCGAAATCAACTCCTTACGAAGATAATTAATGATTCTTGATGCGTAAATTCAAACCACCCGCTCATGAAAACTCAATGCTCTACGTGATTCACATCGCTTGCTAAACGTTATCATGGCAGTCTCTGCGATATAAAAATCTGGCAACCTCAATCTTGACGCTTTGGCTCAGCTATAGTAAATTGCTGATAGTTCGAACAAAACATGGGGGAAATGGACATTGCTCGATTGAGAAGCTTGCTGAAACCGTTGTAGTGCGAGATTTGACTCACGTAGAGCTTTGAGTTTCTTGTGAGCGGGCAGTTCAAATTCCTCGTAGCCAATGTGAAATAAAAACGTTAATATCTTCGTTATGAGTTGATTTTAGTGATTTTCGTTGCACGAATCGTGTTCTACGTGAAATTCTGGTTAAGAAATATGTATTAGAATACTTAAATTCGTACCTTGTCTAGTGGTCCATATCGGGGGAAAGTATGCATGACTTTCCGCGAAAATGAATATTTTATCAAAAGAAATTTGGCAACATTCGAAGGGACATACGACGTTCTTCCTTAGGGCGGCAGAGCATCCCTTCTCTGTCCTCATCCCCGGCAGCGACGCTCTTAGTCGTAACGAAGGATTCGCTGTGTCCCTTGTGAGGACGGATCAATGTAACGACATTAATTGACCGCATTTATTATGCAACTTTGGTCTTTTCTACAGGTCCCGCTGGAATTGGAGAGCTTCCGGGGTCCGCGAGCAAAACCCGACTACCGTAAAACTCAGTGAGGCGTATCTTAACTCTACATATATTCGTGGTGAATTATATCTCGTTCTCCACTTCTGTACGCGTAATCATCAGAAATAGGTTATACCAAGAATAACATTTCGGCCAGGAGAAGTGGGAGGCCATATTTGATTTGGTTTTAAAATAGATTTGAGGCAGAGAGGTACTCACCGAACTGTGTAAGTAACGCTAGCTTGAAGGTGAAGCTATTTTTGCGATTACTTGAATGACTGCAGAAGACCGGAGGGCTACGCCCCACCCGAACGGGCCAGCTCCCAGCCGTGGCTCCTTCACCACTTTGTCTGTAACAATAAAAACAAAGTCATGAGTAAAACAGTCCTACAAATTTTTGGTCACATCATGTTTTGGAAAGTCTATTGAAGAATTCCATCGGCACATTTCCCATGCACTGTTATAGCGCTTGATTTGGGAAAAATGTCCAAAAACTTCCATCACATCAGTATGTTTCACAAATTCAAAATTTGGGAGTTTTTCAGGAGTATTTCTAAAAAAAAATAATAAAAAAATGTATTCAATTTAAACTCGTCTTTTGGTAACTCGTGTACTTGCTAGGTATAATTTTACAATTTCAGGCGATAGGGAGCTGCAGAAAGTCAACATTTTTCGAAATTTCTTTTCGCCCCTGAAACCCCCTTATAAACGAACTAATTGTGACAACAATAGGACATTAAGTGGGTTAGAGAGATTATATTAAATATTCAAAAATACAAGTTTTAAAAATAATACTCAATCATTGAAGCCGTGGGTGTGGGAAAACGCAGGGGGTATCGAAGAATCGATAAGGGAGTATTTTCGTCAACCAGGTTGCCGAAAAAGTGGCATGTTCCGAATGAACGGCACAATCTGATAAGCTAACACCGCATGTTCCACTCCATCGGCATCGACACAGCGGAATCAGATGCGCAGTGGCGTGGCGTGAATTGCGATATATCGATTGTTATGCCATTTAAACCTATGGAAAAAGATCGATTATCAGGGCGTTTGCAGCGAACACCTTAGTAATCGATTCTTTACTATAGCTTCAAATGGCGATATATCGATAATCGATCTTTCACGCCACGCCACTGCAGATGCGTATGGTGTGCTTTGCGATATATCGATTGATCTGTCGTTTAAACCTTTAGAAAAGGATCAATAAACAGGGCGTTCGCAACGAACACCTTAATAATCGATTCTTCACCGTAATTTCAGATAGGGAAATATCGATAATCGATCATTCACGCCTCGCCGCTGGGTCCGGCCGAAAGGACGAGCGCGTGACGAATGGGCGATTTTAATATTTAAACTAACGGAAGCAGTCGCCGAGGTGGGCGGGAGGCCCGGAAATCAGTGGCGAATCGTTAATGATCGATTATCGATTTTTCCCCATTTGAAGCTGTAATAAAGAATCGATTTTTAAGTGTTCATTGCTAACACCCTGTCTATCGATCCTTTTCCGTGGTTTAAATGGGAGATGAATCGATGTATCGCACGGCACGCTCCGCCCCTGCCGGAAATAGAGGTGGGGGTTGGGGATGTTTGACGCTCGATTAATGATGACCTCTATGAGCCAGGTGGAGCGGGAACTTTTCGCCTGTGATTGTTCCTGTTGATTCTACGCTCTATTGTTAAAAAATAGCCTTAGACCTAAACTTAGGTTAAGAGTTAGTAATTAATAACCATTAGATAAATTGTAATTGACACCCCAGATGGGGTGGTTGTACATTCTTACATACATATGAGTCGCTTTTACAGCGCTCTTCGGCGCTCTGCGACGCCCAATCGCCACAAAGCTCGGTCTTCCCACAGGTCATCAGGGAGTTGACACTCCCTCATCTCACTCAACACCCCCTGTCGCCAACCTCTCACTGGGCGTCCCCTCCGTCTCCTCCCAGGAGGAACCCAATCAAGCATCTTTTTTGGCAGCCTCTCTTCCGTCATCCTATTGACATGACCATACCAGACAAGCTGTCTGGTCATGACGTCGAAAACGATGTCATTTTCGACTTCCATTATTTGACGCACCCTATCATTACGGACCCGATCTCTCCTAGAAATTCCTGCCGACCGTCTCCAAAAATCCATCTCCGTTGCTCTTAGCATATCCTGTGTCCGTTTCTTCAGCTGCCAAACTTCACACCCGTATGTTAATATACTTTTGACTACAGCGTTGTATATCCTCCTCTTGTTATCTTTGGAAATCCGCTGATCCCAGAGGATTCCATTTAACATCGCTATAGCCTTCCTTGCTAAGGTGTTCCTTTCCCTGATAGCTTGATCCGTCCTTCCATCCTGGGTCAACCGCACTCCCAAGTACTTAAAGTGCTCGCAGCCTTTGATCTGCTGCCCATCCTCCAACTCAATGCTTTGCTGATCACCGCCAAAAGTCATCTTCTCAGATTTGGATATGCTGACTTCCAACCCCCACTTCCGATATTCTTCTACTAACTTGCGCATCATGTACTCCGCGTCATCTTGATCTTGAGCAACCACCACCTGGTCATCAGCAAAGCACAGAGTGAACAGAGTTTCAAGATCACCCAAGGGGACACCCATACCAGAACATTTCTTTTTCCATTCTTTAAGCACACATTCGAGATAAATTTTAAATAATGTTGGCGACAAACAACATCCCTGTTTTAAACCCTTAGTCACATAAAATCCCGCTGACAACCCCCCATGATACTTAATTTTGGTAAAACTCCCTTTATAAAATCGCTTGACAGCATCAATCAACCCCCCGTTAAAATTAGATTTTTCCAAGGCCTCCCAAAGTTTCACCAACGGCACACTGTCATACGCTTTCTGGAGATCCACGAAAATTAAATGCAGCTCCTGAGCTACGGCCATTTTCTTCTCAATGACCTGGACAATAACAAAGAGGTGATCTATCGTAGACCTGCCAGCTCTAAAACCAGCCTGCTCCTCTGCTTCGTGATCCTGCCATTCGTCCTCGATCTTCGCTTTCAGTATCTTCCCGTACACTTTGCTTATTGTCCCGGTCACTGAGAGCCCCCGGTAGTTGTTACAGTCGTCCTTCCTTCCCTTCTTTTTGTAGATGGCCTTGATCCAAGACTCCTTCCACTCCCTTGGTACCTCGTCACCCCTGATGCATTGTTGCATCAGTTTTCTGAGGCACTCAAAGAGCTTGGCAGTCCCGTACTTGACCAACTCGACAGGAATCCCACCAGGACCCGGTGCTTTGTCATTTTGCAGCTCTTTGACCGCTTTAATTATGTCACAAGTGTGGATCTCCAAGTTGTTCATTCTTCCGTTGTCCGTGCTGTTGTCTCGAAACTCTGGGCGCCTTTCCGTCAAAAGATCTTTAAAATGATCCTCCAGTTTTTTAAGTGATATCGGAGAAACGATGTCGCGCTTCATGTCTCTACGTAAACCTTTAATTAACTTCCAGCTCTCAGCACTTTTTCTCCCCCCTAGGTAGGTGTTAATTCTAGAACAGTTGCTTTCCCAAGCTTCATTCTTCTTCCGTGTTATGAGGCTCCTAACTTTAGACTGAGCTTTCCTGTAAGCAACTTTATCTTCAGCCTTTTTAGACGACAGAAATATAAGATGTTTTTGCCTCTTGAGATTTATCTCGTCTTCAATTTCTTCATCCCACCAGTAAGGATGCTGGTTTTTATTGCTGGTTTTGCAAATACCTAGGGCTTCTTTAGCTGCAGAGTGGATACAATCTTTAATGAAATGATATTGCTCTTCAGTGGTACCCGAAAGCCCATCCCCCAACTTCTCATCCAAGCGTTTCCGATACAGAGCCTTGACACTAGGGTGCTCCAAACTTTCGATGTTGTATCTTACCTCACGCTCTTGCATCCCCTGTCCCTGCTGTTGTTCAGGCACTGGCTCTACATCCTTAGTTCCTTTAACGGGAAACGCTATATCTGCTCGGAGGAAATGATGGTCACTGCCGCAAGACAGTCCCCTGCACACTCTAACTTGCTGTAATTTCAGCTTAGTAGAGTGCTTAACAATCACATAATCGATGATGGATTTCAATCCTCGCGTTGGCTGGACCCAGGTATACTTATGGATGTCTTTGTGTTGGAAAAAGCCATTCAAAATTCTCATCTCACTTTGAGTACAAATTGAGATGAGCCGATCACCGTTATCATTAACAGCATCCTCTCCAAACGGTCCGACAACTTTACAGTTGACTCTTCGTCCCGTTCTGCTGTTCAAATCACCCATAAGAATGACCTCCCTGCCAGCACCAACGTTCAGAATTTCATCATTCAGATCTTCAAAAAATTGGTCCTTACACGCGACAGTGGCATCATCATTTACACCGTACACTCCGAGCAGCGTGATCTTATGTCCGTATAGGTTGAGGTTCATTCTGATAAGTCGCTGGTTGACGGCCTCCCAGGTGCCCACAAATTTACGTAGGCTTTTCCGCATGAGTTCCACATTCTTTCAATTAATAAAAAAAAAAAAAAAAATCTCTACGCTCCGTGGAATCCGATGATGGCACTTCATTAGGAGCCCAGGAGCTTTCCACTGCGGTTAGATTCGCAATTTCACCGCTTATCATGGAGCTCTTTGGAGACGAAATATTTAAGGAATATTTAGGGATCACTCTAAGACATTTCGATACAACAATCAATCAATTTGAAATATATAAATTTTAAAAATTTTCCTGCGGAAAATACACCGAAAATCGCCCCGATTTCTCAATAGAGATGTTTGCAAGTGTCTGAAATTCGATGAATTTCGTGTTTGAGTGGAAACTACTAGGTGAACTGAACACGAGGATATCCTGAAGAATTTGCACACAAAAATTTTATCGCTTCATCTGCGAGTGCCTAATGAGCTAAGTTTGCAGTATTCTTCATAATTTTTTTCTGACATGGGAAATAGATTTAAAAGTGATAAAATGCGCCGCCTCACGACATCATCTGGCGGCATTTTCCATTTCAACACATGTATTTTAACAGATTATGTTATTTTGTCATATTTTCTCCAATAATTGTTCAATTTAGAAACCAAGGATATCTCCGTACTCAGTTTTCCTAGCAGTATCGTTTTGAAGATGAAATTCTCAAAATTTCAGACACCTGCAGCAAATTCTCTAATATGACAAAATGATACAGTCTGCTAGAACACGTGTATATAAATGGGAAATGCCGCCAGATAACGTCACTAGGCGGTGCATTTTCTCACTTTAAATCTATTTTTATACTATTTCTCATATCAGAAAAAAATTAAAAAAAATTCTGTGAAATCATCTCTTTAAGCACTTTCAGATGAAGCAATAAAAAATTTGCATGCAAATTCTCCAATGATT